AGCCCAGGAGTTGGAGGTTGCTGTGAGCTGTGATGCCACAGCACTCTACCCAGGGGGACAGCTTGAGGCTGTCTCAAAAAAAAAAAAAGGAATAGGGGTTATTTTTATTTTCTTTATGCTTTTTGTATTTTCCAAAATTTCTGTAGTGAACCTTTATACTTTAACAATCATAAGAAAGTACAACAAATGTTATTTTTAAAATCCTACATAAATGCTAATTGGATTATTATTAATAAAAGTAAGCCATGCTGGGCCTTATGGCACACACCTGTAATCCTAGCACTGTGGGAAGTGGAGGCAGGAGGAACAGTTGAACCCAGGAGTTTGAGGTTGCTGTGAACTAGGCTTATGCCACTGTACTCTAGCCTGGGGAACAGAGTGAGACTGCCTCAAAGAAGAATAATGGTAACCAAACCAGAGTTGATTTCAGAAATGTTGGCATAATATTGGTATTTTACATCTGTGTCACATTGTATAGTTTATAAAGTTCATATAAGCTATCAACTACATTACAGCTGGAGATGGAGCAGGGCCTTTGGAAGGCTTTTAAAGCCTGCTAAAAGAACCAGGTATAGGGAATGGTAGAGGGGAAAAACAAAAGCAGAAGACTGAAAAAATAGTGGTGTCACTGAGCCACTGATAAAAATAGATGAATTAGGTTGGGAAAGGGTGAAAAATAGGGTAAGTTAGAGGAGAGAGACACAGAGAGAGAGAAATTGATTTTACACCTAGAGTGGCAATAGGCAAGAAGAGTTTTCCAGTAAGCAATTATAAGATTCCAGAAAGGCACAGGACTGGAGATGCCAGATTTGAATTCTTCATCAGGAATGAAGCTTGGCTCAGTGCACAGTGGTTACGGCGCCAGCCACATTCACCGAAGGTGGTGGGTTCAAACCAGGCCCGGGCCAGCTAAACAACTGCAACATTAAAATAGCTGGGTGTTATGGCGGGCGCCTGTAGTCCCAGTTACTTGGGAGGCTGAGGCAAGAGAGTCACTGAAGCCCAAGAGTTTGAGGTTGTTGTGAGCTGTGATGCCAC